ATACTAACCGTGTTGATAAAGACATACTAACCGTGTTGATAAAGACATACTAACCGTGTTGATAAAGACATACTAACGGTGTTGATAAAGAAATACTAACCGTCTTGATAAAGAAATACTAACCGTGTTAATAAAGACATACTAACCGTGTTGATAAAGAAATACTACCCGTGTTGATAAAGACATACTAACCGTGTTAATAAAGACATACTAACGGTGTTGATAAAGAAATACTAACCATGATAATAAAGACATACTAACCGTTTTAACAAAGACACACTAACCGTGTTAATAAAGACATAACTACCGTGTTAACAGTTAATATTTTCCTATTATATGTTAAGAAATCAGTTTGGAAAATTTGTGATATCAAAGTGTTACTTTCTACACAAACAATATACGTATTAAACGTTTACACAAACAATATACGTATCAAACGTTTACACAAACAATATACGTATTAAACGTTTACACAAACAATATACGTATTAAACGTTTACACAAACAATATACGTATTAAACGTGTCGCAACGTTTCAAGACCGACTGGTACCTTGCCAAGCTATAACCATGTTAACCATATTTTAACAACAAAATATGAAAAACAAGTAATTTCTCCTGCTTAATTGACGACTTCCGCCATGTAAATCTAGGTCAAATCCTTGTTAAGTCACACTCTCAAATTAGAAACCAGAAGAGTGACATCGATTCTTAAATGGACGTTAATGAGCATGATAAAGAAACGTAGACTTAATATCAAACAAGGAAGTATGTATTATGAGAAGTTCTTTTTACACAACCAATTACATTTTCTATGTGACGTTTCGATGACTAGTACGATATTCCGCACATCTTTGACAATATCTTGTCCGTACTTTGTTCGGATATTTCTAAACATTTTCTTCAGGTTGGTAAGTATGGATTATGAGATATTCTTTTTACACAACCAATGAAATGTTCTATGTGACGTTTCGATGGCTAGTACGATAGTAAGATATCGTACTAGTCATCGAAACGTCACATAGAACATTTTATTGGTTGTGTAAAAAGAATATCTCATAATCCATACTTACCAACCCGAAGAAAATGTTTAGAAAAAAGGAAGTATGATATATTGTTTTGAGATCATCTTGCACGTAGTCTTAATCATTCCGTAATTTTTCAAACCTTTAGCAACAAATTTGTCAGCATTCTATCATTCTATCAAGAAAATCATAATATTCCGAGCAAGCCCGAGTTCACCAAATCAAACTGCGACACGTAAATATCGTGGGTGAACATTAAGGGATGTTACTATCAAGAAAGACAAAGTTCATGACAGGAAAATAAAATAGCCACGCGTATTACACAGCTAAGTATCAATTGTCCCTATTGACCATGTCATAGGTAAGATCGAGGTAAGCGGCTGATGTAGTAGAGAATGGCATATGTCCGATGACTATTTTTATGAAGACATCAGCCTTGATGCCTTTTTACTGACTATGTTTACCTAGCTATGTACCATTGTTATAACCACTGCACAAGTCCGTAGATTCAAAATGCATAAGGGAAGTTCGATTTTGAATTGGTGTCTTTTAATATGACTTATCAGTGGGTTGGAAGTTTGGGTTACTATAGCGTATTTTAAGGGGGTCGTTGAACCTTATATCGCGCTATTTCTCTGAGGTATTTATTCCCTTTCTAATAATGTATTACAATGAAAAATATCATTAGCGGTTCTCGAATTATTTCGATTATTAGATGTCATTCTAAACCATTCACCTCATGCGTGTAATTCTTGCATCAAAATGTTTACCTTCGCTATATTTTAACTCTATATTAACCAAATCACAGCTTGATGGTTAAATAGAAAACCGACCACTCAAAACATGATTGGATACGACAAAATAAGGTATACAACAGTTTTAATATTGCAACAGCAACATAGGTTTACGAGGGTCGGGACGTCCCGGCAGATGTTATCAGAATCTTAATCTATTTACAATTTAAAAAGCAATAATATTTAAAGAGTCGTACATATCAGTCAAACATTTTTATAACTAAAAATATATCTTAAGTACAATTTCAAGAAGGTCAGAAATATGATTAAACAGTCAAAGTTTGCTCGCCTATACTACATGTAACTATTTCCAAGCGCAATAAAATTAATACCGCTCGCGTTATTAACTTTTTACCAGACTGCTAGAGAGCTATTCCTACCTCGTGTTTACTGTCAACTTGTATCATATTGTTATGGACAACGAGAACCTGGGAACGGAGCCCTCTAATACCTGACGAGCTATCCCTAAATAATGTCTAAATGATTATAGTCTAGAGAGACTTCCGGTAGAGGTATAATGATCCTAATGATTGCCGGTCCTTTTTTTATAACCACAAGCACATCCGGGAAACAGCACTTTGATTAGAAGGATAACGATGTCCTTGTCACACTGTAGTCCGAAGTCTACAAGTGTCTGCTCGGCAAAACAACATGTTTGTCAGGTTTATATACGTACCGTACTAAGTTTGTCTTACTACTTACAGTTTACGTACCTGTACAATTGTGTTAATCACTAGACAGCTGGTAGTCCTTGTTTGTATACGTAACAGACTAACATGTCTTACTACTAACAGTTTACGTACCTGTACAATTGTGTTAATCACTAGACAGCTGGTAGGCCTCGTTTGTATACGTAACAGACTAACATGTCTTACTACTAACAGTTTACGTACCTGTACAATTGTGT